GATCGCAGTAAGGCTAAAATAATTAAACTAGAAATATATATTTGCAACAGTTAGCATTGATATATGGAATAATGACTGCAATGTCTATAAACCAGTGTGTGTGTGTGTGTGTGTGTACGTGTGTGTGTGTATTTTCACAAACCTCCTCCATGACATCATGCACGTGATGCTGGGATCTGAACCCTAAAGCGACACATTAAACTGCATGAGTCAAATGCCCTGCCGTTTACACACTTACACACACACACACAGAATATGACCCAGAAAGAAAATGAATTCTTCATCTCACCCTGTGCAGAGCCTCCGCAAACACAGCCTCATGGACACTGCATGCAAACAGTGATGTGGGCAGGTCGCTCAGGTCCATCATCTCTTCAGCCATGGCCTCCTGATCATTCTCCCCAAACACCATGTTCTCCTCCTCTTCTTCCTCCTCCTCTACCTCCTCCTCGTCCTCCTCAGGGTCACTGCTGTAGGCCTCGGAGCCATTGCTCCAGGTCTTGAAGGTCTCTCTCAGCATGTTAAAGCTCTTTGGTGGATGCTGGGAAGAGATCACAGACAGGGACGAGAGGAGAACTCAGTGACTTGGAGTGGATTTTTGGAGTATTTAAAACTTGTGCTGCCACATACAAGTTAAACAGTTTACAGAGTATTTTTGTGTTTTTCCTGACAAAACCCTCCCTTACTGCTTTGGGAATTGTGAACTGGGTGGAGAAGGTCTTGGGATTGATTTCTCCAAATTCCAAATGGGATGGTAAGGAATATGTTACAAAATGCATGCAGTGTTTAAAAAAAAAAGAAGCTGACTCACTATGTGGACTAATGCTGTGTTGACCGACCACCCTTCCTCCATTAAAATGAATTGAAACAAGCCATATGTAATAATTTTATTTGCCTGAGAGTAAGTTTAAAGATGGTAAAAAGGGAAAAATAACAGCTGTTTAAAACTGTGTCTACTAAAAAAAGAACAAGAAAAAGAAAAAATATATTTAAAATAAAAAAAATGTGTGATCTGACAAGATGTAACAGTGTAAAAAATGTTGACGTCAGAAAGCTCGCGTCTTAACCTGAAGTGCCTTTCTTTGTTCCTGACATACATTGCCATCTAGTGGCAATACATTATTCAAACGTTTAGTAGAAATGCAACATGGCTATATGGCAACCAGATAAATGGGATAAAATAAATTTACCGTGCCTTATCAATCGAACGAGAGACATCACACGTGTACAGCGTCAATTAATGACTATATGAAACCCTTGCGTGATGCGTTCAGGGCCCCTATAAGGATGTATTCGTAGTGATGATGGTCAAACCTGAAGTGCTTTATGACATAACTTATCAAACAACAACACAGAATAATACCAGTACTAAAGCTGACAAAGCTGCAGTTTTAATATGCGGTTCACGTCTTAAAATTCTAAAAATTCTAGTCTGTTTATGTAATGTAACTCACCTCACTGCTCTCAGTGAAGGCGGCGGAAAGGCGCCATTACACACGAACGGAAGTTAAAAAAATAAATAAAACTAATTTAATAATTTCATTCAATTTTGACCCAGGCCTGGTGGTTTTTCGGCCGCTTCTTTTTGTTTATCTTAGATGGATCACTAATGACGCAGGTTACTCTCCAGCCCTCGTCGGCAGGTGACACCAATCAGATACTGACAAAGGCGAGAAACGACCAATGAGGACACAGAAGAGGGGAGGATCAATCTAGAACAAGATTGATGACGATCAAAGAAGAAAATATATTTATTTATGAAATCGATGAAAAAGAAAAAGATCCCAAATAAATACATATTTAATTTAAATGTTGGTTAGATGTGTAACAAGAGCTATTTGTATTTCTGCATTTAATGTTATCTAAGCTAGTCGGCTACAACTGCGTGGATTTACCTGTTGAACAACTGACAAAAACCACAGAATTAGTCAATTTAAATATTGACGTATATAACGACAGAAAGCAACAGAAGACACGCGTGTACATGTTAAACAACAACCTCCATTGCAGCAGGTAATTCATTTTATTTATGAACTGACTTTATGACTTAGCCTAACTGAATAGGTGTGAGCTGAAGTATTCTATGATGCCCATATGGACTTCAAGCTATATTGTTTAGGGTTGGTACGTGGTGTAATAGTTTTGGAAACCACTGTGTTATACTATACTACTGTACCAATATATGGCAATGAAATTGAATTATATAGCAGCTAGGTAGGTGTCCTGACGATAGTTCACGAATCATACTTTTTTTAGGGGGCCTGAGCAAATATAAAGATCATTTAAGAAGATATTATTTATTCATTTATTGCTGGACGTGGGCTAAGTGAGTGATTTGGTAAGTGATTTGGTGTGGCCCAATATTATTGTACAATTTTGGAAATGCCATGTTGACTGCTGATTAATAACAAAACATACAATTTCAAATACATCAGTTAGAAATGTAATTTATTTAGTGTATATGATCAAAGATTGCATATATTACACAGTGTGAGATTAGAAAAGGGAACTGATCTGATTTTTATCATAAGGCAGTGATAAAAGCAAGACAGTCTGTTTACACAGTGATGAGATTGAGCCGATTCACTCACAGGTCAGAAATGTCAGAGCTACTTAATAAAAAACTGCCTATGGTACAGAAATGAAAGCCCTCTTTGTTCACATGCACTTCTAAATGAGGAGTTCATTTTTATTTTTATTAAAGCATAAGCTGTTAAAAATATTCCATCAAACCAAAGAATCAACTAAAATCTTTGAAATAAGGGAAAATAACTGGAGCAAATTCAGTTGCCCAGTTTAAAATACTTTATACCTTATGTTCCGGAAGCAAGTATGATACACAGTATATTAATCTAACCAAGTAAGAGTTGTTACTGACTTAAATTCTAAAGAACAGGAAGTGAAACATCACACATCAGCATGGTTTATGTTTCACCTGACATTTCATTTATCCAGTGTAAAGCTACACATTAAGGCACATTCAAATCAACATTTAAACTGAATAAATACCACAATAACTTAAAACAACTGCACCCACAGCTTGGTCAGAGAACAAGACACTGGATCAATAATCCTTCATACAAGACAGACAGGAGAGGTGAAAGTTCAAAATCTACAGGTTAATGTTCATTGGCAAGTCTTTCATTTTCCATCTCCTCTGTGTGTGTGTGTCTATATCACTAGACTCTGGACGTCAGGGAGTGTCATCACAATCCCATATGAAAGAGCAGATCATTGCAGGATCCCATTCATCAGCAGATAAGAACAAAAAATATTAAATATTCCAATACTAAAAATAACAGTATTGGTTGAGGCAGTTGACTTTAGGGGAAGTCTCTCTACACAAAACAAACAATAAACCCCTAAAACTCCTGATTTCATTCAAATACTTCAATGAGTGAAAAAGACAGAAGTGTGTGGAATAAACAAATCCCAGGGAATAGTGACACGGATTTACACTATCTGTGTGAGAACACTCGCACAGGACTCAGTTCCAAAGTCCTTAAAAGATGTCCATACCTGAAGTTAGCAAGAAAAAAAAAATACAGCTTTGGTCCTAATCTTTCTTGAGGTCGGAATGGTTGTAGGAGGCGTCGGCAGATCTGCCGACATCTGGAGGTTGTTCCATGTTGACTGGTACAGTTATGGGTGTTGCTCCATCGTTGTTGACCAGAGCACCATAGTTGAAAGAACCATTGACCTCTGGTTGAACTATGGGACCTTTGTCATGGATGGTGGGGATGCCTAGTGGTGGAGAAGCCAGGTGGTTAATAAGGCTTTTCTTAAGAATCTACTAAAGAAGTTTCTACTGTAAAACACCTTTATGGATACAAAGGCACTTAATACAAAACAACAGTCATCTGGAAGCATTGGCATTTAGTCCAGACAGGTACTGTATATATCCTGTGGCTAAATAAATATGCTAAGTGGGCTGTACTAAAATAGCATTTTTGTAGTTGAGTCTCTACCAAAGTGCTTTACATTATGACTACCTGGGCGTGGCATATAACCTTTGGTGCCTGGAATCAACCCTCTTGGTGTGAGAAAAATGAACAGCCAACTGATGTAAAGCCATCTGTGTTCATGTTGTCTTGAGACAGATAATAATCCATCCTTCAGGTTTATTTTATTCATACAAACCTTTAGCCATGTCCATAGTGACGTACGGCTCAAAGGTCTTTGGCCTCCTCCTGATTCTGGTGATGAGAAAGACTCCCAGGAAACACAGTGCAGTTCTGTACAAAACACAATATACACACCTTATGACTGTTTACACAGTTGTGCGACAGCTTGAACATGAGGTAAGTCCTTCTCTACGATAACATCTTCCCTCGTAATAATCTTTCAGATTTACAGCAATGGAAGAAGAACGGGTTGTGGCTAAAAATAGTGATGCATCTGTTCTCTTTAGCTCTCTCATCATACAGCATGACAGCACTACGGCAATGAAGGATCAAGAAAACTCATTCAGCTGCCACTTGTTATGTTGTAGGCACCAGAGAGTGACATGTCCAAATATTTGAAAGACGACTCACCCCAGCAAAAACAAGCAGATGTGAAGAATATCTTCGTTTTTAAATTCCAAATAAAACACAGCTCCTAAACAATTTAAAATCAGAAGAAAAGCATATTAAACATAACATATTCTAAAAAATATTATTTTCTAATGTTTAGTTTAAATATTGACCTATAATTGAAATTAACCTTTCTTTCAATCTAGAAAAATAGCCTAATAAAATTAAAACATTGGAGCAAACTGTTTAGAAAAATTAAAACAAAACAAACAAAAAAAATGATGACAGAACATGACTCACCAGCTATCACTGCAAAAGTGGTTGAGAAAATGTAGTTGACAAAGGCTATGAGAGAAGATTCATACAGCTTGCAGGCCTGGGTGAGAAATCTAACACAAAAAGACAAAAATAATATGTTCAACCTTTGAGAAGTCATATCTAGATAGTCAAGTATCATCTACATATATCAAATATCATCTCCAAATATTTAACATTTTTTGTCTGTCTCAAGAACTGTAAAGTTCTTTAAACTTCACCTGGCTTGGAAGACTACTGAAGCCAACATACAAACAATCATGACACTAAAGATGGGGTAGTCAAGCTGCATGTTGCCCTCAGCAGTGAGCACCAACATGGCCGACACTGCCTTCACTGAGATCACAGTCACAGAGCCTTGGGAGCAGAAAACAAAAGCATTAGTCAAATTACTCAACAATAATTAAAAGTAAACTCACCTGTTGATCTTTGATGTGTGATCCATGAGGGATGTGACTCCTAACCATTGTGCTGTGGCACATTAGTGTGCTGTGAGAGATCATTAGGTGTACCTAATAAAATGATCCAATTTCATATAATTGGTCTTAGTAATATTTTTTTTTTCATTTAATTATGTGACGGTAGCTGAACACTTAAATACACTAGGTGTAGTCACTAGGTTTCAACAAGCTTCAAAAATTAAAAAAGGGGACAAAGCCTTTGAAGTTCTGAGTCTTCAATTTCTGCTAGTGCATCAGTGTTGTGTTCACCTAACAGGCTCAGCTTTCACAATGAGTGGATAACTTATATGTGTAAACTTAGATTAGAATATCATTATATTTTATTACATGTTTTTCTTTGCTTTGTTTGGTGGTGTACCGTGGGCTATGGCAAAGAATAGTTTGAAACAGTCTGTAGTAGTGCAGACTCACCAAGTAGGGCGACCAGGAGAAGAATAACAACGACATAATTTGCACCTCTTCGTTTGTAGAAGTATAACAGCAGGCAGAACATGATGACCTCCAGGAGCTGTCAATACAAACAATATAATTGAGAATGGACTTCCACTTCCACAATGAACACAAAAAGATCTATAAATGTGGTCTTTGTATTGCTCTATGACAACATGCTATCCAGCAGTGTGGTGTGCTCATTTGTTTAACAAGTCTGGTCTAGAAATGAAAGATGCAACACATTTTTACCATATACAATAGAACAGGCCATCCCACAAGGTGCTTTACAACAACGTCAGCTTCAAGTTTTTCATGGGAGTTTGGTCCAAATGCTACAAAGAGGTAGGTTCCTCCTGCAACAAAGATACAGCCCAGAAAGGACAGCCCATAGCGCTCTGAAATAGGACAAAAGAAGCATGAATTAGAAGCTTTTAGTACTGTGAAGATAGTGAAGAAGTGAAAAAAAAACAAACATTTTTTTTCTTCTTATGGACTAATGTAGATAATAGAAGCTTCATCTTCACATCGCTCTAGTGGATGAAGATTTTGCACACAATGCCATTAATTCCATATCATTTACATGTGAGTGTCAGAACATCTTCATTGGCACTAAAACACACATGTTGAACTTACTTGCAAATTCGTTTGGTTTACATCTCTCACGCAGAAAAATAAGACCTAAAATTGAGCTAGCTGAAAACGAGAAGAAAAGTTTAAAAATTAGGAATTATACAGCCTTGTCATTTAAACTAAATACTAATTACACATCAGACTTTACTTATTTCCACATCATAGTAGTAAATTAAGTGAGAGATACTCACTCAAAACAGACACCGCATTGAGGGGCGCTATAAGAACAAGGGGGGCAAAGGCATAAGAGACAAAGTTCGCCGCCTCCCCGAGGCAGGTGAGGATAAGACCAGACCACCAGGTTTTGGTGCGATAGAAGGCACGCAAGTCCTTGGCTCCAGCTAAGGACACATGGCTGTACTTCTGTAATCAAATGAAATAAAAACAAAGCAGTACATCTTAATCTGTATACAAACAATTCACTATAGTACAAAGTTAAACTAGGCAAACAAACCACATAATGCAGGTACTGTTTTCTTTACAGACGAGGCCGTTTCAATATTAAAGCGATGGTAAACATTAGATGTGCAAATAAAGAGAGATCTATTAAGTTAAATCTCACCAAGGCTGAAAATAATATGACAGACAGCTCAAACCATCAGATCAATGAAATTTAACACAAAGATATGTTCACACAGCCCAATGTAAAATAAATACGATTTAAATAATTGATTAAAAAAATACTGTTTGGTACAATTAATATAGATTTTTGCTTGGTAACCAAAATCAAAGTACAAGTGTTTATAATGCAGTTAGATTTAAATATCAAAAACAAGTTACACTGTACCTGAATACATAGGGAGATGCTGACAAGTACATTTCCGAAAATGGCGAGCAACGTTCCGATGAGATTTTCCTAAAGAAGAGAAATATGTCAATGGAAATTATAACAGCTAACTTGATAATGCAGTGCCTGCCAATTATAAATAAATAAATATGATAGAATAACAACAATACAATGGTAATTAAAAAACAAGTGTTTTAAATACTTTTATTGATCATTGTGTTACTTAACTTTTTCCACATACATATTGGTTTGAAAAACCAATAGTCAACAATACATCATCATAAAACAACATTGTAACGAACATGTATTTCAACTATTATGGAGTTGTTTTTAAACAAGCTATTACCAAGCACTGAGATTTGCACATTACTTATGTAGTCAATGACACACGTTTGGGTCACAGCTCAGCATTTGAGAAACGTTTAATCTCCTCTGTATTCTTTAGTCTATTACACCACACGACATATCTAAATGCGCCCTGATAAAGTTTTAAATGCGTTCGCCTCTAGCTTGAAGGATACATAACGCGTATTTGTCTCATATCCTAGTACACCTGCAACTTTTAGCACCGTCTCTTTCTGGACATTTGTGTGACTCTCAAATGACACATCTATAAAGCATAGCCTTTGTGTAAGTTACGGCAAATGTTTTTTTTAAATAAAGCGACTCTATAGCATATTAACACAGAAGGTGTGTGAACTAAAGCTCACCGTGTACGAGCCTCCGTTTTCGTTGAAGAAGTCCATTTCGCTCGCTTTCAGGGCACCGAAAGATATGGATATACTCGACAACACTCAAGCATTTAATCTTTGATACATTTGAAGTCGCATTGTTAAACTATCGCTCTATTATTTGTTTAAATAGGGCTCTAAAGTGTCAAGAACTATCTCTTCGTTGGCCAAAACCCTCACTACTTCCTGGTTGAACTTACTGGTTTGGGCTGCGTCGTGACGCAAGACGCATGTTGAGCTAACGTCAGATGTTGACGCAGGCTAACGGCTGTATTTTTAAAATATAGGTAAATAGAGTCTTTATCAATAAAATTACCATAATACATGAAAAATAAACACGTCACATTTTTTTGCAAATTTGCTTAATAATGTTTCAAACGTGTTGATCGTCTTTGTAAACTCGAACTTAACCGTTGAGCTATTCCCGTCATGCACTGGATGTATCTAGGTAGATATGTTTTTTTACAATGTTTTATATATACATATAAAAAGAAAATAGTTAAATAGTTGTATTCTCCTTTTATAATATATTTGGGTTATTTTACAGTAATGTAATCATTATTTTCTCCCGCTATTTATCACTGCCTATAGAAGAATGTGCCTGTTGTTTGCAGTACCACTGCTTGACACCAGGTTGCACCACTGAGCTGTGATTGATCGATAAGGAATTGTGCCTGTTATTGATCTGCTACAACGGTGACTCAAATGGCAGGAAATTGTCTAATCACATTTATACCACTGCTGTGCTGACATTAGCGAGGCACCAATCAAAAGATTCCTGATTTCTGATTCAATTTAGATCCATTACGACTGGACAACATGACCTTGCATAAGTGACACATTGGCTTTGTCACCACTCACACATATTAATCTTCTGTACTGATCTTGACAGCCTTTGCTTCACCTAGAAAATATGTGATCATGACTGTTCACTTGTACATCACATGTTTCGTCCTTCTTTTGTGTCACTGCAGCAGTGGAGGAGGGACACACGTCAGTCAGTGTTTCTATAACTGGAACTGTGGAAAACACAGGTATGTCAGAGAAGGGTGTGAGCTTTGGTTTGTAAAAAGGAGCAATGTGTTCTCCTAATGTGATAACATGCTTGGAATCAAATGAGTAACTGATAGTGCTGGAATATTACAGTAGCTTGTAGTAAAGAAACATCATGTTGTTTAGTCTGCTCTCAGACAGATCTTACCTTGATAATGGTATCATGATTATAGGTAAAATACTACGGTCTTTCCTATAAGAGACTGACCAGCAGAGGGAGTGACACAGTCATGAAAAGTAGTCTTCTCACACTAAACTTGATAAATAAATAACTCGTACATCTGCCACTTTATCCTGTAATGGTTAGCAATTGAGTCAAAGTGAAACAAACACCTTGTTTAGGGCAAAAGAAAAAAAAAACATACTTACATCAATACTTGTGTTTGATTTTTCATAAACCTAATCCAACTTCAGCATGTATTTGAGTATGTTGTCGTACTCAGGTTGAGGTCTTATAACCCAATTTGATGACTAAATTCATCGATGACTAGAATTAATATGAGACTTTTGGGACTGAACACAATTTTTCTTTTCACAACTTATGGATGAGGACTAATTTGAACTGCTTTTTACTGACTGAGGCAGCTTTCAAACAAAGGAGACTCGAAATGTTTTATTGACTTCAACTGATCCTGACTAAAACAATTGTTCGTTGTCTAATAGGAACCTTTGGAAACACTGCTGTGAATGCCTGAGTTCTTTATTTCAAAGACTGACTGAATGTTGCAGGAGCTCATCTTGAGCAGTTATTTGCTTCAAACCATGGCCTGGTGGTCAGTGACATGATAACGATCTAAAAATGAAAGAAATCTGTATTTTTTAGTCAGACTCCACGACTGGATGGTCTGTGGGTTTGGAAATATAACTTCAACACACAGCATACAGGCTGGGTTCATTTCCTAAAGGCTTTAAATATCTCTTCCTGGTTATTTAACTCTTCAAACTGAGAGACAGCGTCCACTGCAGCCCGAGGCTGTGTCTGTCTAAACATTAATTACCATGCCTCAAATTCCATTATATTTGCATAGTATTGTGTGTACATCTGTCCATCTTCATCTACGAAGATATATGCTTCACATAGCTGTGAGGTGACAAGTAACTATGCAAAAAGTACCGTAAATCAATTAATGATCTGTAAGAGATTTTTAAGATACTTTAATATGCAAAAAAAAAAAAAAAGTAAGTCAACAGAAGGAAAAGTAAGGATCCTATAACCAAAAATTAAAAACGGGCCTAGGAGTCAATCTAGGCCAGAAAAAGGTCAAATTTTTAAATTTTAATATTCAATATGAGCCAAATGAGCATACAATAATGAGCCAAATTAACTAAAAGTTAGCCTGAAATTAGCAAGACTGAGACAAAAGATAGTTTGAACATTTTTTAAATAATACATAATATAAATAGTGCTTTGCTGAACCCCAGGCCAGACCTAGTGACCGTTCACCTGCTTCACATTTCTTTATCAGACTGTAATTTTCAGTGACAGGTTTCCTTTTTTTAGTTTTTAGCCTGCTCTGAACTGAGCATTGTAAAAGTAGTCACACTTTACTTAATCAAAATCTTAACTACTAAAAAACAATTAAATAATAACAAAAGAACAAATGTTGCAGTTCCTGTTTTTCTGTTTAATTTATTGTTTGTTTGTTTTTTACACCTGTTACACAGACATTCATTACAGCCTTTGATGAGTGAAGGTAAAGATTCTGAACAGGTGGTCTGTCCTGAGGGTATTAACTGGTGTTTGCTTGTCTGTGTGTTTTCTAGGTTAAGCTATACTCATGGGGACCATTGTTAGAACATAAACTATTGTTGTTGGGATACTGTGTCTCGCATTTTACACGTCCCCACTACGCAATAGGGTAAATTAAGATTCAAGATTTAGTTTGAAGTTCAGATTAGAAATATGGGTTAGAACAGCAGTTAGAACAGGAATTAGGATGAGGCATATAATTGGGATGGTATGTGGCCAGGTAATGCACTAAAGCAGGGGAGGCCGAACAGTCAGAGGCTAACAGCCACACTTTTTACTGCCCCATCCCTTTGAAGAAAAAGAAATCTCACACCGTATTAAAATTTCTTGTTTACATTTTTTCTTCTTTGCGAATTGGGTTTTCCCTAAGTCATTTACGCCAAACACACCGATGAGATTCACAAAAAAAAAAAAAAAAATCAACAGCAGCAAACAAACATGAAATACGACATGAACGTAAGGGCAAAGAGCCGCATGTGGCTCCCGAGCCGCGGGTTGGCCATGCCTGCACTAAAGTGTTCATAAAACACACACACACACACACACACACTAATCTGTATGTGTGATGCGTGCCCCAGTGCACGTGTGTGTAGGTAGGTGAAGAGGCCTTTCTCTATCCCATGTCCACAATGACTAAATCTTTCAGCTAATCTTACTGGTTTAGTGTTAAGACAATCATACAAGCAGGGATAATAAATCAATCTGAGCACAGGTAAATCAAGGCAAACAACAGCAGATGAAATGAAGAGTTGAATATGTTCACCGACTGTTTCATTTTTCTAAGGGTGGCACCTAAAAGTCAGTTGACAGGGTTGGGCTTCCATGACAGTGACAGTCCCATTGTAGCATTGTATCAGACTAAACTGTGGGATCATTAATAACAGTTGGGCCTCAAAACTCTTCATATAATAGTCACATAAGTTTTATTTTCTGAATTCCCAAATTCCCTAAAACAATCTGTGCCTCACTCAAATTTACAATGTCCACACGGGAATTAAATGATCCCAAACACAATATACTGTAATGGGCAATAAAAATTCAAATGAACAGGACAAAGTAGAGCATAAGGCAGTGATTACCAACTTTTTTTGGCTTGTGACTCCATTTTGACACCCAACTTTTTTTGGCTTGTGACTCTATTTTGACATCACAAATTTCTAGTGACCCCAGAGACATTTTAGTAGCCGTCACCTGTGCAGTCAGTGCTGCCAACAAACAAGACGCACCAGATGAGATATTTTTATATTCTGAATTTTATTTGACCTCAATTTTTATTTATGAAAGTACGCAATTGTTTAAGATTGGGTGTGGTGTCTTTAATCACAATATTAAAATAATAAATATTAATATGTTTTTGTTTTTTTTTGTCAGTTTCTAGACAATTCAGGCGAACCCATTTAAATTCCAGGTGACCACACATAGGGTTGCAACCTCAAGGTAAAAACATAATAACAGTGACAATGACTCAGGTCGGGGTCACATGGTCTGGGTCACATCCCACAGCTCTAAAAATGGTAGAAACTTTAAGATATATGTCTCAATGGAAATCTCTCACAGTGCTGCCGTTGTTGTGGTATTTCAAATGCTAAAGGACCATTTCTACTTAGACTGGACAAATCTACTCCTTTAGTTATTTATGGGCCTGTTTTTTTTCACTTTTTTATTTTTAATCATTTCAGCATCACCATTATACACATCTGCTCACATTGAGCTATTTTAGGCTAGGACATGCTTTCGTTTAATTTTGCTTATTTGGCTAACTTTATAATATTGTTTGCTATTTTTCATTGTTGTTGTTGATGACTCTTACCTGTGTTATGTCTGTTTTAAGCATCAATTTAGCAATTTCTCAAATAACCTCTCGCTTTTTTTCTAATTACGATGTCTTGTAGTTCATTTGATTCGTTTGTTGTCGCTACTCATCTGATCAGTAATAAGTAGTAAGTGTCTGGCATGTACTTGGCAAGAAATTTTTAATTTTTAAGAATTACATAAGACTTGTGTTATCCAGCGAAAAACTTTCCATTCAAGACTTGGCACAAGTTGAATGTCCATCACGACAGTTTTTAATGGCATTTTGATGAGGGAACTGGTTCATTCATTAAATGAGAACATACATATAAGGCCTTATCTCATTTTTAAAATATACTGACTTATTGTCGTCCTAAGGACTTTGACCCGTTTTTTTTCCCAGAGTCTCGTGAAGGACAAAGGTCATACAGAAAATTAGGTCAAAGCCTTGTTGTTTCTATCTTTTTTTGTTTTGTTTTGTTTCAGGTTACAGAGAATTTTTCCCTTAACATATTTAGGAAATTGTACACCTCAGAAACCCAGCTGAAAAACCTGCCTTCTTCTACAAGCATCTGACCCTTGTAATTCACAGGAGACATGAAGCTCAAATTATAGAATGCA